CGCTTCCTCCTTCACGTCCCCGGCGTCGTCGTCCGCCTGCTCCTCGTCCTCCTCGTCCTCGCTGTCCTCGTCGTCGTTGTCCTCCTCGTCGCCGCTGCAGGCCACCTCCACCTCCGCCGAGTCGGGCATACCGAGGACGTGCAGGGCGTCCAGGCCCAAAAAGCAGTTCATCTGCAAGTTCTGTAGCCGCCAGTTCACCAAAAGCTATAATTTGCTGATACACGAAAGAACGCACACCGACGAGCGGCCGTACTCGTGCGACATTTGCGGAAAGGCCTTCCGACGGCAGGATCACTTGAGGGACCACAGGTAAGTCAGGGGACTGGTGTGATTCGTTTTCGTTTCATGATTCTCTTTTGCAAGAATTTCTGGTCAGATTGTTTGGATTCTAGGTTGTTTCTTCTTTTTCTTTTTTTTTTTTGAATTGAGATTTGATCGAATTTCTTTGGAACCTCATCGCGATCTTTTTCGCTTCGATCTTTCGACTTTTTTAAAATTAATTCCGATTCTTAATAATCTTTAATAATCGTCGAATCGTAGAATTTTGTAGAATCGTCTTCCGTATTTTCTTATAATTTTTGTCCAATTCCAATAAGTATTCCATATAACAATTACTCGATTTTTCATTCGTTTTAACGTGTTTTAATTCGCGATTAATTCTTTTACAATTTTAAAACAATCCTCGATCCATCTCAGAAACTTGTACTAAACCACAAAATAAACATTCAGGAATCGTTAGATCGATCGAAGTCATGATGATAATCGTGACTTCAATATTTTCACCTTTATTCAGGAAACCATTAATATTCAAAAATTAAGCCGAGCGAGTGGATCGAATCGGGGGGAAAGGACACGGAAGATAAAGCCGCTATTATATATGCTTATTGGCGGAGGGAAGCGCGCATCGGGCGATAGCATAGTTATATACCCAATCACCTCGTGAAACACGCTTTCTTCCCCGTTCAACTCTCGTGCTCAAATTGATTGCGATCTTCTGTGTTCCGTCTAAATACGACGAAATGATACGGCTCGAACGTGTAATTACGACGACGTACTATTAATTAATATCGAACAATTTTTCCTGACAATTTATCGTGGTTTTTCGTATTTTTTGATCATCGATCACCAACGATGCGCGCGCCCACAATTAACCGTTAATTCAACTATTAGGCATTCTTCGATTCTTCGTATTTTTTACTATTTCTTTTTTTGAATAATCTTTGTGTGATTTATTTTTATTTTCTTCTCTCTTTTTTTTTTCACGAAGAAGATGGAGGAATGTTTTCGCTTCGGTTTATTGTTCGAATGAAAAATTGAAGATAAAGATATTTGGTAATCGATTCGAGGATTTTGAATTAATTTTTTTCAGAGTCTAGTTTAAGAGTCAGGATTTTTGGGATGTAATTTTTTTTTTTGTAATTTGTATAATTTAAATTTTTTTTATAGCTTTATTTATTTTAAATATTTATTGAAAATGTTGAATTATTCATTTCGACTTGTTTTTTTTTTTTAATTCTTAATTTATTAACGCGTTTAATATTAGCATAGTTTCAGAATACATAGACTCTTATAAATTTTAATAAGTTTCTTCGTCGCGTTCATTAGATTATTTATATGGATATATCGTATATAAAAATTTCTAAGAAAAATTGTATTTTTTTGTCTAAGTATTTACAAGCTTTCTTCTCTCCACTGCAGATAAACGTAATAATATAAATAATTGTCTAATATCCCAATCATCTAAACAATTCGCTACCGACACGATTTGCGAACAAAGATTTTCGTATTTCATTCTACTAAGTAGCAATTTATTTATAATCCTAATTAACATACAATACCAAAACCTTAACCATCCACTTTCTGCACCATTGACAAACCTCTCACACAAATTCCCAAATCCCACGCAAGCATCCTCAACGTGCCTAAACCAACGACAAACCTCCTCAATCGTTCTCCAAAATCCAAACGAAAATTTTCACGCGTCGTCGTTTCGACAATCATTAATCCCTCTAATCCTTCTAATCCCATTACTGACCACTCCAACCTTCTGAAAATCTGTCATTGATATCGTCACTAACTTAACGTAACGTGACTTATCAAATTGATCAAACTGATTTGCGCCAATTAAAATTATCCAAAACTTAACGTTACTTTCTATACTCTTTAAACTATATACGAGATATGATTAAATTATCTTCGGCCAATTCAATAATTGAAAGAGGAAAAATCGATCGATCCGTTGCAGGTACATCCACAGCAAGGAAAAACCGTTCAAATGCGCCGAGTGTGGAAAAGGATTCTGTCAAAGCAGGACCCTGGCCGTGCACAAGATCCTGCATATGGAGGAATCGCCCCACAAATGTCCCGTGTGCGCAAGGAGTTTCAACCAGAGAAGCAACCTGAAGACCCATCTTCTCACGCACACGGACATCAAACCTTACCACTGCGCCTCCTGCGGCAAGGTGTTCCGCAGGAATTGCGACCTGAGGAGGCACTCATTGACTCACAATTTGGGTGTATCGACGTCCCCTCCACCACCAGGGATACCTGTGCCTGGTACAGGGGCCGTAGTGCTGCAAGAGACGTCCTAGTGGGCGCGTGGATCGACTGTGACAAGTCTCGACACTGTGCTAGGGACATTTTATTCTACCGAGCCCTTCTTTTCGCTTCGTTCGATTTCGAGACGAGTTATAAAGGAATTTTCCAAGGATTTTGAACGTTGAAATCGGCGAAGGGAGGGCAAAGGAGTAGGTAATTGGTTTCGATAGACTGATAGTGGAAAGTCTAATATTGTACTAGGGACATTTATTATTTGCACCGAGTCCAAGTTTGATATCCATTTTGGGGGATAAATTGGGGAATTTTCGTAGGATAGCGAAAAGAGGAGCAAAGAGGATTGTAATTGGTTTCATAAATTATTGTGAAAAATCTTTGGTATTCTTCTAGGGATATTTATTTTTATACCGAGTCCATTTTCGTTTTTCCATTTTAATTTTGAAACGGATTTAGAAATCCTGAAGGAATCAATGAGACATCAAAGAAGAACGAGGAAAATGGATTGACATTGTGAAAAATCTTGACATTATACTTTAGGGATATTTACTTTTGTATCGAATTTAGAGTAAATTTTTTAGAAATTTTGATAAAATTATACTAAGAAAATTTTTATTCGTTTAATTTCGAAGAATATTCAAACAAATTCAACGGATTTCAAAGTCTATGAAAGGGTAACGTTTATATGGTATCGGTGATTGTTTGAATTTGTGAAATATAGATGAAACTTTAAAGATTCGTAAGTGTTAAGTGGACTTTGGGTCCTTGATATTTAGCGTGTATTTAGCTGCGTATGTATTTCGTAGTTGTTAATGCGTAGATATATAATTATAACTGCATATAAAGATGTTATTCATGGATTCATGTTCGTTAGATCTGTAATTATGTTACGTATTACATGTATAGGTAGCCGGAGTAAGAACTTATCTCTCACACTGTGTACCTATGTGCCCATGTTGTGTTTCGTTTGTACGTGTAAAATAAACTTTTATTATATTATTTTTTAAATATGTCGTTGTAATTATTGTTTTTTTTACCATTTCCTTTCCTCTAGCAACGAACAAATCAATTTTCAATATTAATTTTCGAGTAATCAATGTTTCGATAAAAACCTAACCCAAGAAAAATACCATAAAAATAAAAGAAGCAAAACTAATTCCAATATTCTTTTCATTTTAAAAATAATACTTAACAATACCTCGCATATAACAACAAAACACAGCAAAAAAAAAAAAAAAAATACAGCGACGAATTAAAAGAAGAA